GGTCTCATTAATTTTAATCAACTCAAAATTTAAAAGCAACTTTCTTTGATACTGGTCAAATAATAGTTTGATTCAATTTAAAAATAGAATACATATGGGATTTTTTTTTTCATTCGTGGTAAACTTTAAAATAATCTCTCGACAATTCGTATAAGCCAATTTAGTCCTAGAGTATTACATTGTTTCAATTTAGCTCCTCTATCATACAAAATTGATCTAAATTGGTTTATTTGGAATTAAATTGTGATCAAATTTATATCACAGTTCTAATAAGAGGGACCATTTTAGATCAATTTTGTATAGTTAAGGGGCTAAAGTGGAGCAACGTGATGATATTATGGAACTAAATTGGCCTCTTTCAAGTAGTTTGAGGATTATTTTGGGATTTTTCTGTATTATGCAATATAAATTTTAGAAATATTTAATGCTAAAATCACGTCAAAAGTTGTCTCAAAATTGATCATTTTTGACATATCGCAAACTTGACTAAAGCTTAATATTTCTTTGTGTAACTTGACCTCTGATTGGGGGCATATATAGTTGATACTTATGTTTGCAACTTGCTCGGTGATCTCTTAAATTTTAAGCAACTTGAAATTGAGATCAACTTATATATATATATATATATATTAATTGAGCTTCTATTTCAGGTTATATATTTTTTCTTGTCAGGATTTAAAAATGCATTTATGCTTAGCAAGGCAAGGCTTACGTCTCGAAGCAGATTAAGATATAAACCTTGAATTAAAAAGAATAAAGAACTAATAAAATAAAATAACTCATAAATTTGTCATAAATTATGGACATATTAATTTAATTCATTTTTATAAATAAAAAAAACCACACAATTAGTAAAAGAAGGTAAACCTCAATTTTCAATCTTAATCTAAAGTGAAAAAGATTCTTGCTAAGCGAACAGTTAAAAATAAATTATAACATAAGGATCATGATCCATTTCATAATCACATATCTTTTCTCTTGCAGTCGATTGCTTTTATTCATTTGCAGCTAGAAGTGTCAAAATGGGTCGGGTTCGAGTTTGATCTGAAATTGACGTGTCCCAAACCAGCTAACCAGAACCTGACCTATTTAATAAAATTTCAAAAGCACCAACCCAAACTCGTCCGGCTCGCAACCCGAATGACTCTAAACCAACCTGTTTTTGATATATATATATTTTTTTATTAACTACAAGTAAAAAATTAGTATGTTTGATAAAAAAAAAAGAAGATTATACCTACAAATAATTTTTTTTTTTTAAATTTCATTATGTATTTGTCTCAGTTTTCCACCTCCACCCAGCTGCCATTTTTTTTTTGTTTTTGCTTTTTCCTGTTGCCCGTAGGTACCCCTTCTTGCTCTTGACTCCTGCCCTCTCTTATTCCTCTCTCTCTCTCTCTCTCTCTCTCTCTCTACCATTTCTTTTTTTTCCCCGCTGGCAACCTCCTCTTCTCTCCTCTCTCTCATTCTCTCCATGAGGGTGAAACTGTTTTAAACATTTTTTTATTTATTTTCTAATTTATCTCTCTCTGTCTATCCCTCTCATTATTTTACTACTAATTTTTTATATTGATTTTTACTGGACCATCTTAAACTTTCTTTTTTACTGTGTTACATTGTTTCTCTCTCTCCCTTGGTGAGGGGAAGATCATCTTAAAACCTCTCTTTTTTTCACCTTTTATCTCTCTTCTTATATATTTTTTCCATTTTAATCATTTTTCTTAACATTACTAGTATTTTTTTAATTAAAAATTTCATCAATTTTTTATTATTTAAAAAACTCTAAATATCTTTTTATAGAAATTTATATAATTAAAGCCAATAAATTACACTAGAGGAGAATTACAATATTTAAATTCAAATAAAGTAGCTTAATATATGCTTATTATAATTTTTCATATATTTTAAATATACTTTTATGTTAATAAGATGCAATTTTTTTAATATATTAATTGCTCATTATAAAATAAATTTTAATTATTATTTTTAATTTAAATTATATATGAAAATGTACTATAAAAGAATAGTTGAATAGATGAGCAGGGGGCAGGGCAGAGCGGGCAGCGGCCGGGCAGCAAAAAATTTAATTTTTTTTAAAATAAACGGGTTTGCGGGTTCACCTGGCAACCCGCCGGGTTAACCCGAACCCGACCCGTTTATCAAACGGGTCGGGTCCAACCCGGATTTTCCAGGTCGGGTCCGGGTCGGGTTTTCGGGTCGGGTCAAATATTGACACCCCTAATATATAGTCCAGATAAATGTGTTGAAATTAATTTATATGAGCATGGCAATAAATTTTTTTATTATTATAAAATTTATCTTTTTTATAACAACTATAAAGTCAATTTCAAGTTGGAATGAAAAAGATTGAGATTATTTTTAAAATCAGAAATTGTGCCACCATGGATAAAAAATCCTTGTTCCGCCATTAATTTCAGGTAAAAAATTGTTTCATCAGTCAATCCGACCCCAATCCATTTTTAATAAACAGGTTGGAAAAACTCAACCTTAACTAGACCCATTTATTAAACGGGTCAACCCGAACTTGGATTTTTTGGGTCGGGTTCGGGTTGGCGGGTTGGGTCATTTTTTGACACCCATATTTGCAGACTTCCTGTCGCTTGTAGACCCCACTCGCTTACTATGATGTATGCAAGGAATGGATCAAAACAAGTTGAGTTGAAAATTTTGTAAGTTCTACTTGAATCAGCTCATTAATGAGCCTCTTCTTATGTTTCAAGCTCATAAATGCTTTCCTCTACTAGATATCAGCTCATTAATGTCTAGTAGAGAGCCTTTTTAGCTCATAAATTGAGGTTCATTCCCCCATTTGTTGTCCCTTTGGTTCCCGTGGTTGGTTCCTTGGTTCCCATGCCTTGGCTCCTTGGTTCCCACAGTTGGCTCTTGGATTTCCGTGCCTTGGCTCCTTGGTTCTTGCGGCTGCCTCTTCGGTTCCTGGCTGGGCTGTTTCCCGTGAGTGTATGGGGGCTTTTCCGTGGCTTGATGCTTTGTTTCTTGGAATTGACTGTTGGCTTTTCATATTCTCTATTTAATTAGCTTTTAAATTAATGTTTTGTGGCTATTTGTATTCCCCTCTTATGTCTATAAATAGTAGATGTTTGGGTTGTTAAGAATATGCTATGTGAATGATTTTTGGAAATGTAAACCTTTGTTGGAAAAGCTTGCGAGCTTTGTCAACTTATTCTTCTCTTCTCCTCTAGGAAATCTTGCGAGCTCTTTCCACCCTTCTTCTCGACTTCTAATCTCTTTCGTCTCTCCGCAAATGACCACCTCAGCTGTATCCCTCTTCTCAAAGTAAGCAAGTTTAGGGTGTCTTGTTAGAGTCTTTGTTTGTAAGTCGTTTAATTTTAAGAGTTGTAAGTCTTTATTTATAAAAGTGTTCGTTTATATGAAATGTAAGAGTTTGTTCTAAAATTTCTAAGTTATCTCTTCTTTTTGAGCATTTTGTGTCTTCTTTTATATAGAAGTTGATTGTGTTTTTGTGATAAAAAATTTGGGTCCCTCCCCAAATTTTTGATTGCATTATACTATCTGCCTAACTATGCCTTTCTTTCTTCTGTTTGACTCTCACAATTCTAAATTAAAGAATTAAACGGGGATATAAATTATAGTAAAGTATATATAAGAAAAGATCTTTTAAAAATTTTTATTTGGTATTTGTTTGAGGCGCTACCTCAAATGCCTCGAGGTGTACACCTCAAACAAAAAGGGTTCAAACTTCACTCAGACCAGAAAAAGAGTAAGTCTGGAGGTGATTTTTAGGCGCCTAATGGTGTTGTGCACCTAGTGCCGCATGCCTCGAACACTTCTTTAAAGCATGATTTATGTATATATATTCTCTAGTAAGAATTGTTGAAATATTTTACTGCTTAAGACAACTTACAATTGATAATTTTTTACTTAAACTTTATTAAAAACAAAATTGAAATTCTTAGCCTGGCATGCTCTCTCCGGACTTGATATAACTTCTAGTGTGTATGTGCATATGTTATTATTCGGTCATCATATGTTCATATTTTTTTAGATTAATACTTTTTTTGAGCAATAAAACTAATTATGCTTTTTGCCGCTTAAAGTCATCAAATTTAGTCTAACAAACCTGTAAGTTCAACCAGGTAGGAGAGTTTTGTAGATGCTATATTGAATCTGATTTCTGAACATAATCTATTCTGTTTTGGTTTAGGGTAAGTGCAGTTGACTATTCACATAAGAATTCTTTTATTTTGTATTTTTGTATTTTTTATTTTTTTAAATTCTTTTATTTTGTAGTTAATTTATTGAATCTTAGTCGATGACCATACATATCTGGCCTCCTTTAATAGCTGATGCTGTCCACTATTCAAAAAATAATTCTAATCCCAGGACGACTGATCTGACACTAGCTTAATGAATGTGTATCGGACTTCTACTAGATGGCTATTCTAGAGAGTAACCCACGCGCACTCTTATACCTTCGTAAAATTGTTTTGCATTTCTTCTACTACCTTTCAGCCGCTGCTGGAGTTTTTTGTGAACCATCTTTAGGTTTTTAGTTTTTGATTACCGTGTTTTTCTTTTTTTAACTTAGCTGCCCTAATATAAGAATGGTTTAGGTTGCACATATTTATGGGTGTGATAACAGGTTTGATAAAGTTTATTATGCTTTGTTGTTTGATATATAAAAATTGTCTTGTTGTTTTCTATTTCTTAAGTTTGTTTTTTCACCATAACTATTTTAGCGCTCTTATGCCACGTCTTATTAAGTTGCTAATTTGACGCTGTTGAGCTCGTTTACATGTTGAAATACATTATTGGGCTGTTCCACATTTTTTCTTTTCCAAATAAAAGACAGTGCTCCATGTACATTTCTCTGGCTTGCCTTTATATTTCTTGGAGTTACTTTTGTTGGCATTTCTGAATGCAGCATGATTCAAGCATCCCAAGGTTTTACTGGGATAGTTTTAACTTAAGTTTCATAAACTTTGTGGTTTAACTGGCAGTTCTGTTCAAAGATGGCTTACAACTGCTCCTGGTTCCCCTACCACACACTGGTATCAGATGCGCTGTGTGCTCTCCCAACCTATATATGTCATGGCTGGTCAAGAAATTACTGGGAAACTCCACATGGTAGCCCATAGTTCTCAGAGTTATACTATTTATTTGACTTTGTCAGGTTTGATTTATTTAATCTCATCTATTTATATGAAAATCCTCTGTGAAGTGCTGAAACTCGTAATACTTTGTACTTATATTATCTGCAGCCAAAATGTGGGGCGCTGGTGCGGATCAAGGTGGAATATTACAAACATCCACCGGTAAACTTGAGCTCAAGGAACCATACTACCGGTTGTCTCAACCACTAACTTATATACCGCCACAAGATCAACAGATCCACCAACAATTTATATCCACACAGGTATTTATATTGAACTCTCTTGGTGAAGTTTCCTGTATGATTGTTTTCACGACCCAACTCAATACAACCCATACCTTCTAATGGGTCATATCAGGTTGAGTGCATGACTAGTCAATTACTTAGATTTTTTTATTTTGAAAGAAATTCTCTCATCTTTTAATCTACATACAGAGAGCCACTAAAGTCTATACTTATAAAAATAAAACATCATCCAACATATATACACAATTCAAATTTATTCATCTCAAAATATATATACAATAATTATGATTTATCATTCACTATCAAAATATATTTAATCATCATGATTATAAAAGAATCTATCTATATCACAAAAGAATACCTTTACAACAATTATTCTCTCAGCTAGTCTTTTATCCTTTCCTAAAATATGTAAACAACTGAGTGAGCGTATAGCTAAGGAAGTCACATGTAATATACAATTGTATTCAATAAGGAATGTAAATCAATATGCATGTTGGCCTCTATTGAATTCTAAGCTATCCTGAGTAAATGTTATTCTATGCTTATCAATATAACTTTATCATATGTATGCAAGTATGGTCAATTCATCATGTTTGAATCATATAATATATGCCTTTATGTCAATATACTTATCAAATAAGTCGAATACTAGTATCATTGTATATGCTAATGAATCATCATATGTGTGTGTATATATATATTGAGTTCATGTCTATCAATATTATGTATACTCACATTCATTTATATCATTTCTTGTATGTATAAATGCTATGTGTCATATCATCATGTTCAGTCACATCAGCATGTCAAAATCATGCATATATATACTATGCTTTATGTTACATTAGGAACATAATTCTCATATATCTATCAATGCTATTAATTATATTGCATTAGGATCATTATCATGCATGGTAGAATATTAATCATGTGATGATATCATCTATGTGATCAGGATTTGCAGAATAGAATTATTAGATTGGTCATGTGTTAGTATATGCTATTATCATGCATACTAGTACTATGTATCTTATGGAATCATCATATATTTATCAATTGTATGCATAATAGAATTTGTACAACAATTACATATCAATATCGATCTATCAGTCAAGATCATATATGTAGTGACATCATATTGATGCATCATTAATTTATATGTATCAATAGCAAGTCAAGATTTTGACTAATCATGTCATTTGACGCTGTACAATATCACCTACTATTCAATATGAATCATATCGTATCGTATCAGTCTCAATCAGGTGGCTTTATTTAGGAGTCACCACTCCCACCCTCTTGTAAAGAATATTATATCATGTCTTCATCAACCTAAATCAATCTCATTTAGGTGCCAATTTTTTTGCATGCACATATATAATGGTAGATCTGTAAATATATCATATTTATTGTGCATAGACAATATCATGTAAATCATAATGATAATATTCAATAATCAATATAGTTTGTCCATTTTCATATATGCTTGTTCAACAAGTAAATCAATATAAATATGCATGTTATAGCTAGGAGTGTAAAAATGGGCTTACGGGTCGGGTTTGGATCCAACCCTAAATTGACCCGACCCGAATCCGATCAACTTGAGCTCAACCCGTTCAATAAACGGTTCATAAAGGTGGACCTAAATCAGACGCGCTAGCAACTTTCCCTCTCTTCCTTCTCTCTTCGGCTCTTCCTCTTCTCCTTTTCTTCTCCCTGTTTTACCTCTCTTCTTCCGGCCAAATGAGGAATGAAAAGTGGCCAAATTTGCATTGCTAAATCATCTAGCATAGCTGTGCCCCCAAGGGTTATCTCTCTATAAATTTCCTATAACTCGAGGCCTTAACGCCACAATGCTCATCCCTCAACTTCGTAGCGCTCAAAAGTGCCGTTCAGAGAAGGCAGTGGCGGCGTTGCAGCACTCTCAAGAACTTCTAATTTTCTTCCATTATACATAGAGCTTAGTACTGCGTCGCTCTCCACACCAATGCCGTAGCATTGTCAAGGGCAATTTTGTCCTCATTAAATTTTTCTTTCTAAATTCAATTCCTAAATTTAATTTTCAATCGTTCAATTGTTGATAAATCTAATCGCACTTAAAATTCTTATCAGGTTCTATTTGAAATTCTTATCATGTTCTATTTGGGTCAACATGTATTCTAATTATTGTACAATTGTAATTGTATTCTTTTTTTTTTAATTTCCACATAGATATTTGTTACCATAGTTGTTTTAAAGTTTAAAATAGAATAATATATATTTTTTTAAAGTGAGCCCATACTTTCCTGGTTTGATTTGTGGTCCTATACATAATAAATTGAATCAATCATGAATTTCCTTCCATTTTTGCAGCGGTGTAGCCCTTCCTGTCTATTATTATTATTTTACTTTATGTGACAAAAACTATCTCTATGTTTGTAAGCAGGATGGAAATGTAACCAATATAGGCTTACAGCAACCACAAAATTTGGGGAACTTAATGAACCGGTAAATTCAAATCCTGAAGCATGCTCTTTTAAGCAGGTCCCATCTGTATAATAATGTGCTTCTTTCCCAATGTGTTTCATTAGTCTTACATAGCAAATTCATTGTCAAAATGCTCTATTTATCAACAATTTTATCTTTCGGAATCGTTGGTATTTAAGTGCGTTTGTTGTATCATGTTTGTGTGAAACATACGTGGGAGGCATGGTTGCCAAGCTGTTTATTTTTTTGTTCTAGCCAATCCCGCCTCTCAAATATTATTCATCTTTCTTTTAAGTACCAGAAAAAAAAAATGTAACTCTTCTTGAATGCCTAGCTTTTAACTCCACGATATTTCATCAATGATTGTTTTAGTTTTTGATATTGTGCTTCAAATGAGTATTACCACTTTCTGTCTGTCATTTGATTATTTAATTGCTGGTTTATGCTATTTATGATGAAATCATCATGTTCCCAACTAGATGAATATAGGTGCATGCTCTCTCATGAGTACTGTATTGGAATGGTACAATTGTGGTTACTAATGTTGAATTTGTTGGGAAATAGGCGGAATCAAATTCAAACACACAAAAACTTAATTGATTGCGAAATTTACCTAATGATTTTTATTATTATAATTGTGGAGAATTATTTTCATAGGCCTCTAGTTCTTTGATATTAATATATGATATATGATGGTGGCCCATCTCTCTCTCTCTGTAAGGCTCCACAATTTAATAAAATATAAGTTAGTCTTTGGGCTGGGTTGGATGGAGTAGTGTGCCTCTGATTCTGTGTAGCAGCTCCAAGGTTGAACCGAACGTATGACATAGCAGAACCTTGCACAGAACTGACATGAGACACACGGTTAGATTGCTAGTAGCTAGTGGTAACATTTAAGATGTTAATCGAATAAAACTGCTCCACTATTCCTGTCTACCACGTTCTATGCAACCTTTGATCTCCACCATACAATCCTAACTACTGCTATAATCATATCAAATAGTTTAATATAGTTTCTGCACATGTAATGATTTAGTTTCCCTGCTCTTGTTTATATAGGATGTACTGTTCTTAAGAATGATAATGTGAAACGTATTTGATTTGCCTAGTTCTTCTTCTTGTTATTATTTTCCTCTCCGTTTTGCGTAAATGCTTACTGGAGAAAGAGACGGCAACATAAAAATTAGCTACCCTCCCTCAATACTGTGGAAGTCGGGCAGAAAAGAACATAAGTTGATAAGAAGCAGATATTAATTGAAAGGTAAGAACATACGGGACAAAGGACAATTGTATGACATGGATGTCATTACGTTTAATTTCCCATTATATATAAATGATGCTTCCATCGCTTCGAGACATATAGAAAAGGTCAAGATCCACCCCTTATAAAATTGTCCAGTCCTATTCTGTCAAGGTCTTATAGTTCAGAAAGTATAGGACTTCTGTTATAATATTTGTTTTCTAGAGTTGCAAAGCTTCCCTAACCGAATAATTTTAATTAAGATTTATTTTATTTACTTGTATATTCTATAAAAATAAAAGTTAAAAGTAAAATAGATTTACTTCATTTCTTCTTTTGATGAGAAGTGTGGGAGACTATCAATAAGAGTTGCTTTGAAAATACTTCGTCAGTATTTTCCCACGTTCATCAGTCTAGATGGTGACACGCATTAGCGTGAGCTTTAAAAGCGAGTGTCCATTTGTACAGTAAAGTTGTATGTGTCAATAATTGTCTGTCATGCTCATTAAAGCCGTGTTAGTCGCTGCCGTTATATATATTTTTTTTGGGTAATAGTAGAAAATCAAATTTTGTATTGTTAACAATAACTGATGTTTTACCAGAGATTAAAGAATTTTTCTGCATGTAAAGTGTTGCATATATATAATTAATTACAGTAAATTTTTTTAAGAATAATAAAAATATCACGTTTCTGAAGCTGTAGTATTATTGGTCTCGTGAAGCTCTCCCTTCCCACATCTTTATTGACATCGAGACTCGAGAGCATCGGCCATTGGTCCACTGAATGTCCATCATTCATTAAATTCTGCCGCGAATTTCTCTCTTTCATTGTGTCATTGTCATTTGTCATTTGTCATTGTGAAGGGCTTTATGAAGATGAGGCAAACACACAATTCTTCTTGGCCTATCGGTTGAGAGCTTAGACTTCCCACTAAGAGGTTCAAAGTTCGAGCCTATGTGTATGCGTTGTGTGTGTGAGTTTGCCTTAAATGACTTAAATGTCCCAAAAAAAAAAAATGAGGCAAACTAATCAAGCGGTAAACTTTTTGTATTGATTGCAATTGTGATGTAGAAAATGCATCAGGAATTGCAATGATTTAATGAAGATAGATAGATTAAGAGAAGAAATGGTAGGCGGGCTCTGGAAAAGTAGGTCTGGGCAATCGTGTTAGGTGACCTGTGGCCGTGGAAGATTTGACTATTGACAGCAGTCAGCAGGCAATGGCATCTTCTTTCTTTCTTTCTACAAGTTTATATTTTAATAATCCACCAGTTTTTATCACTTTTCTTTTCTTTACAGGAGCAATGAAAGTGGCCCTCAGGTTTTCAAGAATTATAATAAAAGGGTTGAGTCTCTCCTATTACTTTCATGTGCGAAAGAATTTTAAATTAATGAGGTTGGTGTGGGATCCTTATAATAAACTAAGCAATATGAATTTTAAACCCTGCCTTCAATTTGCTGACATATGTGCTGACCCAAAACTATGCACTTAATAGAGTTGTTGCGGGTGAGAATTTGATTAATGGAAATATCTTGTGGGGGGTGTTAGCTTTATATGAATTATTAAAATTTTAATAAACATTATATAATATTAAAAAAGTGGATCCCACACTTTCACACCATCCATCCATTATTATTCTTATATATTTATACATATACGAAATATATGTATCTATCATTTATTTTTATTTACCTCCCCCACTTCAATCATCTTTGTATTTATCGATTTCATGCAGCAGGACACAAATAAGTACCGTACCGCAAACAGATTGGTTGAAGAATAAAAATGATTAGTGAATTTTGTATGGTTCTATATTTTTTTTTCCTGCTTTGAAATTATTGCACTATTCACCTTCTTTCAATCTATCAATATTATGCCTTTTGTCAAACTTTCATATCATTTAAATAGTAATCCATCAATTGCCGTGAGCTACAGACAACAACCATTCTTTAAAAAAATATTTTTGCAATAGACTACAGACAACAACAAAACCCTGTGAAGTGTTTCCTTTTTAGAACTTTATAAAAATTAATCAAAATAGTTCTTTTAATCATGCTTTGAAATTAATTAATTCCTTATTCATATATTATACTAATTTAAAACAAGTTTACTAACTAAAAATTTAATTGAACTAATTTTGAACTGTATAAATAAATATTCTCAATTAGTCGTGCTAGTTTAATCATTGAGATGGATTGTTTTCATGCAATGATGAGAGATACGAAACCAATTGAAGAAAAACAAACAAAGAAACAAACAATGTGGAGATTCTCAACTGGCCTATCATTATTTAGAACTAATCAAAAACTCTTTTACTTTGTGAAATGAAACAAAGATAGCAGCTCTCTTTCAGCGTCTTCCAGCAGATTATTTCACTTCCAATTCCAAAACAAATGATGATATACAAATCTGCTGCTTAATAAACTCTGCAATAACTTACATTCTTCTCAGCATTACAGATCAGAGGAGCGGTTGGCGTACTCCTGGACCAATGCTCCGAACAGAGAGGGCCGCTCAATTAAATTTGTCGGTGAGTCAAATTCCTTTGCCAATCCTGTGCAAAATTTTACCCATAAATTAATTTCCATATACAAAAGGATATATATATCAGTAAATTTTAGTTTTTGAAGTGCTAACCTGAATCTACAACCAGAACTCTGTCACAATCCATGACGGTAGGAATTCTATGAGCGATGCTTATAATTGTACAATTTGAGAAGTCTTCTCGAATGATTTTCTGGATAAACCCATCGGTCTGAGAATCAACCGAAGCAGTTGCCTCATCCATGAACAGGATTCTGCTTTTCTTCAACAGAACTCGGCCCAAGCAAAAAAGTTGCCTCTGACCCACACTCCAATTCTCACCATTATCGACCACTGAAGATTTGCAATTCGAATTAGAGATGAAACAACTCTCGAATAGAGCACAATGATGTTGATGATATAAATATCTATAGAGCAATTAGGATCACTCTTGAGTCACAAGATGTAAGAGCAGGTTATGTACCTAAAGCATCAAGCTTTTCAGGTTTTGCCGCCACTGCTTGTTTCAGCTGGCACCGTTCCAGGCTCTAGAAAAAGAAAAATATTCTCATCTGTGAATTAACGGTTACTTTTTTAAATCTATTACTACTACTAGCTGAATGATGAGAGTATCCACTCATCAATCCTTACCTGCCATATTTCATCATCTGTATATTGTCCAACTGGGTCAACATTGCTCCTCACTGTTCCTTCGAATAGAACAGGCTCTTGAGGAATTATACCAAAGCGGGACCTTAGATCATGAAGACCCAAAATGCAAATATCTATTCCATCAATGATAATCTTCCCTCCAGATGGTTCTACAATTCGGAAAAGAGCTTGAATCAAAGTTGATTTGCCGCTCCCTGTTCGGCCAACAACTCCTATTTTCTCCCCTCCATGAATGTCAAGCGTGATGCCATGCAAAACAAGAGGAGTGTTTGGCCGATATCTAACCTGTACGAACAAGCTTATTGAGAATCACTCAGGTATGTCCTCAAAGGAAAGAATTAGTTCTTCATATATTAAGGAAAAAAAAAAAAAATAACTCAGTAGTTTAACCTTCAGATCTCTGAGAATAATATCTCCATGAGTGGGCCAGTTTGGTGAAGGCAGACGGTCTTTTATCCTCCACGGTGCTTCCGGAGGAATGCTACTAAATTGCTTTAATCTCTCTACTGAAACCATTCTATTTTCTAAGAAACAGCTTATCCAAATTGCCCAAAAAAGCACAGAATTGAGAGAGAGACCGTAGGAAAGGGATAAACCAACATACTCTGCGTCAAAGGAATTAAAAAAAAAAAAAAAAGTGAGTTCGCAAATTGAGATTCTGGTTCAGACCAGATTATCACTACTGATGTAACGAACATAATAAAAAAAATATTTTTATTTTTAATTACAAACTTTTAAAATGTTCGCAATATACCCTCAAAAAAATAAAGGGGTACCTGGCTTGATAAAATTGCTGGGAAGCATAACCATTGACAGAGCAGATATGCATAAAATGACAGTTCCAATTAACTCCAACCGAAATCCCATCCATTCATTGGAACCGTTGTTATGAAAATCCATAGTCAAGCTCGCATTTACTCGGTTGATGTTTTCTTGAGAAAATCTTTCTTCCTTTTTAAAACAGCGGATTGTCATGACGCCCTGAATGGTTTCTGAAAAGTGATGGATGACGGGCGCTTTTGTTATTGAATCAAGACGAGTCAACTCTCGAGATGTTGTAAGATAGTAACCCTGCAATCAAAGGGATTTAAAATTATAAGTTTAATCAATCAAATTAATGTCATCAAAGCTCAACTCTAAAATGAAGACAAATATCATACCCTATACCAGACGTTGAGCCATGCAAGTGGAATTATGAAAAAAAGTGTTGGCCAAGCAACCTGTATGGTGACTATCAGAATGCTTAGTACAGTAATGTACATTGAAACGGTCAATCCCACAAAGAAAGGGAGGAACAGATCAACATTTGTTTGATCTGAAGATGCCTGAATTAAAAAAAAAAAAATTATTCTGATCAGCTCCAAGGGGGAAAGAAAGATAAACAATGAAAAAAAGAAAAAACACACACACAAAATAACTCTTCAATTTCAATTCTCTTGGTATATAAAAAGTTTAGGGTTTAAACAATATGAACAATCAAAATCTAGGCAAAAGCAATACCCGACTAAGAATTCTTCCTGAAGGAGTGGTATCAAAGAACGACATAGGTGCATGCAAGATACTGTTCAGGATCTGCTTGAAAAAGATTTGGGCAGTTTTCAGCCCCCAATAAGTGACAAGAAAGGACCTCCCAGCGACTAGGATTACAGAAATTACAGCTATAATCACATAAACTTCAATAAATTGTGAGGGATTGAATGAAGAAGCATTATTTGCAGAAGTTGATAATGCCAACCAATAATCACTGGCCATCAAAGACCCTTGCCACAGCAGTGAAACAATCAAAACAGCAATGACCCCCCACCATCCCCAAGCCTCGGTAATGTAGGTTTTGTACACGTTCAAACTGACTTTTCCAGTCTCCCTTTCCTCGTCTTTGATAAGCTTAGCTGAACTCTTCTCAGTCTTAGGCGAGATTACAGAAGACTCGTCCTTTGACTTCTCATCATTCGTGATGGTTTGGTCACCTTGTTTGGATGGAGAATCCATTCTCACTTGCTCGGGAGGGCCATGCTCTACTAGCTCCATAGAACTATCATGTGCGGCAACAAGCGCTGCAAAATCTGCACCAGCATTTAGTATTTCGTTGTACTTTCCAGATTGAACAATCATCCCATCTCGCATAACCTGACCCATTTTGTAGACATTAGATTTTAGTGGCATATATGATAAGTGAATGATAGTTGAAACTAGTTATAAGCATCAACTAATTCGCTGATCATTAGTTTATATGTGAAACAAAATGGAAATGTTAATTTTTTACCAATGAGCATTTGCATTTTAATGTCAATACCTGCTCGTGTTTTGATGATCACATAAGGAAATAATATGTTGGTGATTCAATAAAAAAGAAAAAGTTCAATGAAGTTTAGAATAATCAGGGTACCGTTTCTCTCAAAAAAGAGATAAATATAACAAGGTTTATCCGATTAATTCGCTGACATGGACATAAGTTTACTGTAACATTTTAATCAGATCAGTATGTCAATACAACTTTAAAGGAGTGATATTATATCGCATACCAAAATAAGATCAGCATTGTGAAGAAAATCAACTTGGTGGGTAACAAGTATAACTGTCTTGTCCTTGAGAGCACCCCTTATGCATTCCTGCAGAGAGAATTGAGTGGTTTTACAATAAGATTCCATTGAAAACTGCAGGATAATTCACTGACATATTTTCACAAGGATATAAAAATTCTAAACCCCAGGAATGGCAAATCAAGTAGTAGCTCTCAAAACAATCGCACCACAAACAATATATAGCAATGATAAGTCAAATCATATCTAGAATGTTGCGAAATGATGAAAAATTAATGCGATACTGAATAACTGGTCTATTCAGTATATCGGTAAGAAGAAATTTGATGTTCATCTAGTTAAGTTAAAAAAAGCATGAAATTTTACCTTGAAGATCTCTGAGCCAGTGTGAGCGTCAACGGCACTGAAGACATCATCGAGGAGGTATACATCTGAATCCTGATAAACAGCCCTGGCTAGCTGTATGCGCTGCTTCTGACCGCCACTGAGATTGATTCCTCTCTCTCCTATCTCAGTCTGGTCTCCAAACTCCATCATTTCCAAATCCTTCGTCAAACAACATACACGGATCACTTCCTTATACTTTTGCTGGTTTAGAGGCAGACCAAACAAAATATTGTCCTGAATAGTTCCATTTTGTATCCATGCTGTCTGTGCCACATAAGCCATGCTTCCACAGACCCTAACCTGAGATAAAATTTAAAATGTAAAAATAGGGTAGGGGGGGGACAAAATCACAAATGAACCAAAATTTGGATAAATTAAATTATACATACGGATTCAGATCTTCTTAAATTGATCATGGAAATAGTTTTTGTTTTAGGAATTTATAGCATGAAGAATCCGATCACTATTCCTAATTTTCCCCATCTCAATAGTTTGCATTCTACTCTTCTTAGAAATAAAAAAACCCACCTTTTTTATAATGAGAATTGTATTATTAATTGTCAAAGCATATGTGGGCCTTACATGCTTTGTCACATATAAGCGCTCTCATCCACAATGATATTTGGAGGCTTTTTAACTCACAGTAGCCTTCAAGATCACCAAATATTTTTGAAACTTGATGATTGCGCTCATGATCTTAAAGATTTAGCATTCAAAACCCAAAATAAAATACCAAAACCATAAATGATATAAAAGAGAAAATAATCCAATAATTAATCTCCCCTCTTTCAAAACAAACACTATCAGCTAGCTGGGTTTAGAACTTCTACAGCTTGATGAATTAGCCAAACTTGAGTCACACGTACAATTCATTTTACATGGCTGATAATTGAATCAAACCATAAAGTCATTTTGAAAAAAAAAAAAAGGTAGAATAATAACAAATTCAATTCTAATCATCAAATATGAATTGAGCAACTGAAAATGAGTAATGACTGGGTGATCTAAAAATTTAAAACTCCATTATTACAAAAGAGAACAAGCAAAATACAAAAACGTAGTCAATTAGAATACAACTGCTTTTTTGTTTTTCTTATATGTTGACTTGGCTCTCTTATTTATTTATATTCTTTTTAGGGGAGGGAAAGAGTAGTATAATAGAGTGTAATTTCGAAGGAATGCTTGATTAAGAGCCGATAGAGAGGTGAAAGAGTTTTTTCCCAATGTGTTAAATATTTTGATTAAAATATTTAATTGCAGTTCTGCAGTTGATGAAGAAACACAAAGGACAATCAAGTGGATAAGTAACATTGTCGCGACGCACATAATTTCCCTTCTCTAAAAGAGTTTGTTAAATTATTATTAGTAAGCGGCGACCTTACGCATTATACGGCGACGATCGGACGGTCAGTAACTTTTACCTTTCCGGAAATACGATGCATCTCGCCGACTAGGCACGATAGAAATGATGACTTGCCGGATCCGACTGTGCCGACGACGGCGGCGACAGCGCCGCGTGGGATCCGGACGTTCACGCGTTTAAGCCACGCTGTGTCGGCGCTGACGTCATCCTCCCATCCGAAGGTCCCCTCGCAAACCTCCACTGCGGGAGCGTCGACTGCGTAGCCGCTCAACACCTGCTCGACGGCGCCCTCGTCGAGCTCGCCGCTAGTCATGTAGGCGTCGAGCCTTTCAAGCGAGATCATAGCCTGTGAGGCCGAGATGAGAGCCTGGGGGAAGTTGCGCATAGGCTCCTGCAGGATCTTGAAAAAAGAGGTGGCGGTGAAAACGATTCCGGCGTCGAGACGAACGCCGGCGGCAATACAAGTACCAAATACGAGGGAGGAGATGACCAACGGTGCGCTCCAGAGCACGATGATGTTGCCGGAGATGGAGTACATGAAGCGGGAGAGCCAGCCGAACTCCTCGGATCGGAAGCCCTGTATTCGTTTGTTAAAATGCTCCTCCCAGGCCTGGAACTTGATGACGCGCATGTAATTCAGCATCTCATTTGTGGCTTTCATGCGCTTGTCACGCATACCCATCAGGGAGAACTGGAAGAGGTTGTTACGCCTGGTGCCAAAGACTACGAAGACCATCACGGCGATGATGCCGACGACCGCGGAGGTGACGGAGGGGCCGAGGTAGACGTAAAGAAGGGCAAGGGCCACGCCTACTTGTAGAGGCATGAGCCAGATGTAATGGATCTGAAGCATCATGTCGGAGAGCTGCTGGGCGTCGACGGCCATGTAATTGACGATCATGCCGAGTCCGTGGGATTGGCGGGCGGAGCAGGATAGGCGGAGGCCTTTGCGGTAGAGGGTGGTGATTAGAGTGGAGCGGATGAGCATACCGGTCTTCTGCGAGTGGAAGTTGTAATGGTGAGAGCAGAGGACTTCGACGAACTTGGCGGCAAGCAGGGTGAGGCAGAGGTAATAGCCCTCGTAGATGGATGAACGGCGGCCGGAGGCGAAGTCAATGAAGCGGTTGATGAGAGTGGGACCGACGTACATGACGCAGAGACGGAGGACGGCGAGCGAGGCGGTGAGTAGCAGCTGCGGCCAGAAGCATCGAAGCAGTGTGGTGCGGACGGGGTGATGGGATTTGATGGCGGGGCGAGGCCAATGAGAGTTGAAGAGATTATAGAGCCGCTGAGCCTGGTGCTCAGGAGCGAGGGAAGGCACGTCCTGCAGCTTGAGGGGGGATTTGTAGCCTTTGGCAAGAAGGGGGTTCATCCAGCTCCACGTCAGGCGGGAGAGAAGGGAGGCGGTGGTGTACGCGGTCACGTTCGGTTTCGACTCGGAGTCCTCCGATAAGTTGCTGTCTCCTGTACTTGACGGGGATGAAGAAGAGAGCTGGGAATGGAAACCGGTGGAAGGGGAGAGAGCGAAGACAAGAAGGGCGGCGGAGAAGAGAAGGAAGACGAGGGAGGCGATGCCATCTGGAAAGTTGGCGGATGAAGAGAAGAGGCGGAGTACTGCGGAGACGGTTAGGAGGATTGACAGTAGGAAGGAGAAGATCCAGAAGAGGCGGAGTGTTAGTGGATGGGAGATTGCGCGAAATCGCTTCTCGTGGGCGATGACGGCAGCAGCGGCGAGATGGGACAGGAACTGGAAAGAGAAGAAGATTGATTGGAGAAGGCGCCAGGAGAACGGGGAAGATTTATCGAGGGCAAGGGCAAGTACGAGAAGGACGAGGAAAGCTGCGGCGAGGATGGAGGAGATGGCCAAGGGGAGGTTGAAGCGCCATGTCGTGCGAACGGCGGAGGAGGTGGGGAGAAGTGGCTTGGCGGCGTCCGAATTAGATTCGTGGCGGCGGGAGAGGAGCTTCTGGATGACGAAGAGAAGGAGGGTGAGAAGGAAGAGGAGGTCGAGTAGGGAGAAGAGAGCGCGCTGCGGACACGGTGAAAGGAAAACGAAGTAGAGCAACTTGCCGACGGTGGCTCCGGGCGGAGGAGAGCAGGTGAAAGCGGAGATGGAGAAGGACATGGTCGCCGCTACCGGTGCCGATGGGTTTCCTCCAGTGGCGGGCACGTCCTCGTCCCGTCTGGGCGTCTGAGGAATCAGGAGAGGAGATTCAAGGAGAGGATAGTCGTGTATTGGAAAGGTGATGGATAATAAATGAAAAAGGACAAAAGCTTGTTACCTGTTGGAAGGGAAGGAAATTGAAGAAACGGAGAGAAAGAAAGAAAGGTTTAATTTGTGCCCGCCAAAAAACGTGCGGTGAAAATATTAACAACGAAGATAATTAAAAGAAAAAGAAAATGGTCATTATTGAATAATCGTCATCGGGCAGACAAACATTGATTTTCTCTGCGCGCAGTGAAGGCGCAGAAGAATTGAAGTTTCAGCACAGCCCGATTCCTACCTTTCATTGAATTGAAGCGTCATTCAAAGGTCTATTATGTTATGTCTTTGTATCTTTCAGCCCCATTTTTTTAATATCACGATGTCGCACTATTTTTCACGACCATTACAAAATTATTTTTTGACATCTATGCATATAATGACCATATATAGTTATAAACACCTCGATTCATTTATTTATTATTATTTTTTTATAAACTTTAGAGTTGTTTGTATTTTTAATTGAAACTATTATTTACTATGTATTACAAAATTCATTTAAGATATGCTAATTTGTAAAGCATTAAATCCATTTTACCTTTATTGTATTTGTACACAAATCTATACGATTGATGGATAATATATAAAATTATTAAAATTAAATACTCCATACAAAAAGTAATATGATATATATTTTATGCGTATTAGAGTACCTTACAAAAATAAGAGTCTACAAGTCCTGTGATCATGCATGCATGCACGGCTGATATTTCATACAATAATAATTAAAAAAGTAGACTCATTTTGTATACTGCTGAGCAGACATACATACATATTACACATAAATGCATTATGACTCATTTCATATGATTAGGGTTTATTAAAATTAATAATGTGGTTAGGGCTGATTTTATATGTTGCGTTCACATGCGCACATATATCATATATGTTATTCCTATGGCCCATTGAGACGACCGCTGTGAATCACAAATGTTTGCAAAAGCCAAAAGTATGATACCAAAAACTCAGTTGCAGATGCTTCGCCCGATTGGACCAAAGGGCCACGTGGATCAAACACCATCCATGCAGAGTTGCAAATAATAATTTTTTCTACGCCGTGAGTGCTGAGGGACTTTTAAGGATTTATTAGTCATTCACTCACTGACAAAAAACAGCTCAATGTGTTTTCCCTAATTTATCAACTTCACTTCAATTTGCTTCAGTTTCTACTAACTATATACATAATAACATTATATCAAACGTATCTCAAAATAAATTTGAGCCAAATATTCTTATTTTGAAGCTTGACCAAAATAACATTTTCAAAGTTGGGAATTTTTTTTTTTTTCTAAAATGATATAATTTACTAGAAGACAAGGCAAAAGAATCCATCATATCCTACATTTTCTTATGACCAATTATCGCAAGCTTTGACATTATACATCATATTTTTACTGAATACAAATAAACAAATAAAAACAAATTTATGGCAACCTTAGAAAAAAGAAAGAATAAAAACGATTCCATTACAAGTTCTGAAGATGAAAACAAAAATATTGAGATTCCAACGTCATGGGACAATGACCCATTTTAAGCTCTAAACAGCTAATGGAATAATCAATTAGGAGTTCAATTAATTTTTATTAAAACCAAACCGTTAACTCACCTGATAGCAAATTTTCTGACATTTAGGCGGCAAAAAAAAAAAAAGGAAAGCAGTCTATCAGCACATAGATTTTGGTTTATTTCCTCTTTTCGATTCATGTATTGTGGACGAAGAAGCCCCAATCCGCAAATAGCATTTATAATTCCTTAATTAACGACAGTCGACAGCATTTATAATTTATGTGAAACAAAAAAAGTATGTGTACGTACAGCCCTACCGATTTGTAGACTAACACTATATATTAATGATAGAAACAGAAAATTAGGCATCACTGATATTTCGAATCTTGGCAAAGCATCCATCCCATTCTTCTTTTTCTTCATCAGATTTTACCTTCTAAAGTTATAATAGATTGGGCCCTGGCCTTACTTGGCCTAAATGTCCGCCCAAATAACTAAACAAATAAATAAAGAACCTGCCCCTAAATTCCCATGTTAAAAAACAAAAAAGATGGAACTACTTTTTAAAAGGCCGTGGATTTTTTTTTTTAGTACAATCTTAACAAAAAATACACGAACAGCAACAAAAAAAAAAAAAAAAACAACCAATTCTGTCAAAAAAAAAAATCAACCAATTCTGTCAAGTAATGAAAAAACATGGTATACAGAAAAAATATTTTCTCTATCAAAATATTGAAAATATTGTCATTTTGATTTTTACAAAAACAAATAGATGATCAGTTGAGATGCCTTAAGATTATAGAGCATCCTTTGTTTTTAAGTACGTCAATTAAAAACTTTCCAAGCCATTATTGCATACTTATAAAAATAACCCTTAAACCAAACATATATCCACCAGCCAACATTTATTAAATCAGCATGAAGAATAGGCTGATTTATTTGAAAAAAATAAAATTTTCATCCACAGGCAGCAGTTTAGGAAAATCTAATATTGGAGTTTTATGATCAACTCCATACGTATGACATGGTTTTCATGCATATTTTCAGATGTGGGGAGATTCAAGACTCTATTTTTGAGTGCATCTGATAATTTGAAAGCACCCATCCAGTCATCGATCAAACAAAAAGAACTGATGCGAAACAGTGATGGTGAACAAGAATTGCATTAAGGAATTTAATTAAAAGTATAAACTTCACTTTGCCGAATATAAGATAATGATTCTTCGAGTTATATTTTAAAACACTCCGTGAGAGAATTAAGTAATAGCAATCAAGTACAATGAAGATTAACAATATACTTGCAAAACAACAACAACATAAATGAATAAGCTAATGTCGAAGTTAGCATGAATCCACAATTTAATAAGTAGATCATTCACCTTGGGGAATCCCTCACTCACACTCATGATTGAAGTTCTTTTAGCGGAAGAAGGTTGCAAGCAAACTTAGAGACGCCACTAGAAGACTTGCGATGCCAAGGGTGCTAGTCGCCGGAGAAGGAGTCGGAGTTGGAGGAACGGGTGGTCGGCCGGAGAGAACCCACGATACTCTAGGTTGTTGGAGTTCGATCGTCTCGCCGAGGCAATAGATGATTCGGTTGACGTAACTTTCCACCGAATCGTCGTACTCCCAATCCGATTCGTAGAAAGGTGATCGGAAGATATTTATCTCTCCTTGGGCAATGTAAGCAAGGCCGTGGTAGATCTCAGGATCGGCCATACACCATTGACGGGAAGAGTGGAAAATCTTCTATGCTTCTCTTGGCTTTTATCAACATAAGAGTTATAATGCTCCAAGAGAGGGAGTAGGTGAGGGAGGCGGCTCAAAAAGAGAGAGAGGAGCGGCTTGGGTTAAGTTTAAAGAGGTGTGGGAAGGATTTTAGTAAATCTGAATTTTGAATTTAGATTTTCCTAAGAGAGGGAGGAGAGTATATTTGAATTTCAAAATTTATTCCAAAAGGTAATAGGGGCTGGCAGTTTGGGGAGGTATTAATGGGGTATTAATGATGATTGGCATTTGATTTGGAGAGGGATTAGGCTAAGAAGGGGGTGCGGCCATATGGCTGAGGATGAGTGGGATTTTGTTTAAGCAAGTGGGCCCCAAAGAAATAAATAGGGTACTTAATTAAATCTGATTTTATTATCAGATTTAAATAATTAGGAAGGGTTTCTTTCTTAGGTTTAGGCAATAGGAAAGTATTTGAAAACCCAATTAATTAATTGAATTCTCATTAGGTAGCTTTCCAATTACCAAATCCTACTTTAGGAAAGGGAATAATGGGCTTTGAAATTTGATTTTCAAATTTAGGGGTCATGGGAAGAGGCCGGCGGCTAGGCGTGTGGAAGGGGATGGGGGAGGCTGGCGGGTGGGATTGTGGCCGGCGGTCTGGGCTGCTGTTGGAGGCCGGCGAACAGGTGGTAGGGGTTTGGTTTTGGGAGGAGGGGAAGGGGAAGGGGGTTTGGGAGGTCGGCGGGTAGGTGGCTAGGAGAGGAGGTGGGAGTAGCGGGAAAAGAAGAAAAAAGATCGGGGGCGCGAACCTTGGAATCCTCCGAAGGTTGACGGGTACTGCTCTAACCCACCAAGGGTCTCTCCTCTCAAGAACTCACTCAAAGATCAAGCAAAGAAAACTAAAATTTCATTCATCAAAATCACATCCATTATAATGCAAGAGGCCTTCTATAAATAGGCCTAAATGAAAGAAAACCGAAAAAACTAAAGTGCATTCGGACTACAACATAAAATCAATTCCCCATAGGGGTAAAATAGGAAAACTCAAATGCAACATAAAACATAAAATAGAAAATACATAAAAAATACACTCTGAATCGTAGCCGTCGATCCACGACTACGTCGACGGTACACATGTCAAAATCTCTGACTGATGTCCTCATCAAGAACAGATTCCCTTGAGAATTAGACTTAAAAAAGAAATGACTTCTAGGCTTGGTAGCAACCTATAGGACAGATCTCCACAAAGGAGAAGCATTTTACGAAGATCTCCACAAAGGGGACATACATTTTGAAGCCACCAATCAGAGAGTCTACAAATTATTTTAACTTTTGTACACAACATTACAGATATCAAAAGAGGGGAGACCCCAAAAGATCTCTGTCTGCAGGCTTAGTAGTGGTATTGATGTAGAACGAACATGCAAAGATGAATTACTTCAATGAATTTGCACACTTAATATTCCTAGAATAAATAATTATAACTTAATGGTGAATTTAAACTACGCAATAAAACACTAAGAGCGGTAAGACAAGCTTAAGCTGAATCACACGCGTAAAAGTTAAGATCAGAAAACAATCAAGTTAATCTAACATTGCATACATGAATGATTTCAACAATGCATACATGAATGATTTCAACAATAAACCCCTACACTAACAATAAGACTAGTCACTACAAGGAGATCCCTCACTCAACTTATCTAGTTAAGAGGGTTTAGTGGAGAGAGTGACGAGAATCTTCACGAATCATTTATAAACCACAATTGAAAAGTGACTAAGAGATTTAATGATTTTAGGGAGAGTTTACCTAAATAATTAGAGAATACGAAGCTTCTAATTTGATCACCAAGGCACTAGATGAAGAGTAATCAGCGATTTCTAGGCTTGGACACATTTAGGAAGGTGATCATTGATTTCTTGGACAGCAGGGAAGAGGAATATGGCCACCAAACTGATTGGACAGCAATTGGAGACTGTAGGAAGCAGCAAGTATTGGTTGAGAAACCCTTTTGGCCTTAAGAGTACTTCCAACAGCAGTCCGAACATCAACTAAGGAGGTGGGACAACAGTTTGTCCCGTCAGAGGAGTCTTAGGCAGCAATACGGGCCTACTGGGGAAGCAGAGCAGCAGAGGATTATGCTGCTGTAATTCCAGGAAGCATCCAGGAATCCCCTACAGGGAATAGACATGGGGGGGGGGGGGGGGGGGGGGTGTGTTCCCGGGGGGCATCTGCAGGGTAATGAAGTATTTCCTTACCAGAACTCTCCGTCAAGGCTGATTGGAAAAGTCAAATCCAATATGAATTGATTGGATACAAATTAAGGAGTTGATTGGGAGGTCATTATGGGAAAGAAATAAAGAAAAGGAGGGGTGGGCCAGCCTTGTATTGAAAGAGAGAGGAGGGGGAATTGGAAAACTGAAATTAATTTCAGCTTAAGTGGATTTGGAGGGAAAATGTTTTGAAATTAAATTCAAATTTCAAATAAGGTTGAGGGATTAAATGAACATTTAATGGGGAGAAGCCCATCATGGGGCCGACGGCATCATGAGGAGTGGAGGGGATTGAGGAGGGAAATATGAGAGTTTTCAAATAGGCGATGAAGATTAGGAAAGGAAATAATAAATCCAATTTGATTTATTTTGAAATTGAATTCATGATTAATACTTTCCTAATTTGGAATTCCCTATATGGAAAGAATTTGAATTTTGAATATGAATTTCACATGAATTCAAATTTTCCCTCTCATGCTTGAGCTAAATTAGGAAGTCATTATGGTGATTGAAATCATCATAATGAGGGGAAAATTATGAGAGGTCCGGCGGAAAAGGGGGAAGGGGGCGGGTTGTGGATAGGTTGGTGGGTGGGATTTAGGTGGTGGAGCTAGAAGATGAATCGGGTGGGGGAGGTTGAGCCATCGGTGGTGGGGAGGTTGAAAGTGGCCGGCGATTGACTTGGAGAGAGGAGATGAAAGAAAATACAAATAAGATAAAAGTAAACTAACCACGAGCCGTGGACTCTTCCAACGACTGGTGGGTATTGCTCTTGCTCACCTCGAGCTCTCTCTCCCTTCTCTCTAGTGCACTCACAAGAAGAAGAAGAAGAAAAACACATAAAATTTCATTATCAAATCATCATCCCAAAATACAAAACAACTACCCTATAAATAGGCCTCATGAAAAGAAAAGAAATAAAAGACTAAAATGCCCTTCAGGCTACAACACTACATGACCACCGATAAGAGTATAAAGGGAAAAACAACAATATAAAATAAACTAGTACATAAAACATATAAATAAATAACTCAAGATCGTAGCCGTTGATCTCTGATGTCCTCATCAGGTGTATATATATATATATGAGCAACAACAACAACAATAACAACAACAACAAGCCTTTATCCCACTACGTGGGGTCGGCCCATGAATCCTTTTCTCTCCATTGTGTCCTATTAAAGGTCAAATTCTCGTTTAAATCTAATAAAGAAAGGTCATTCCTAATATTTTCTAACCAGGTCTTTTTAGGTCTGCCTATACCTTTCTTAACATAAGTCAAATCTAATACCTCTACTCTCCTAACCGGGTCATTGGAAGGCCGCCGTTTTATGTGACCAAACCATCTAAGGAGACTACGTGGGGTCGGCTACATGAATCCTTTTTCTCCATTGTGTCCTATTAAAGGTCAAATTCTCGTTTAAATCTAATAAAGAAAGGTCATTCCTAATATTTTCTAACCAGGTCTTTTTAGGTCTGCCTATACCTTTCTTAACATAAGTCAAATCTAATACCTCTACTCTCCTAACCGGGTCATTGGAAGGCCGCCGTTTTATGTGACCAAACCATCTAAGGAGACTCTCTCTAATCTTATCTTCTATTGGAGCTACTCCAACCTTTTCACGTATATGCTCATTTCGTATCCTATCTCTAAGGGTAAAGCCACTCATCCACCTCAGCATCCTCATCTCTGCCACACTTAACTTAATATTATGTTTCTCTTTTAATGGCCAACATTCAGCACCATAAAGCATTGTAGGCTTCACTACCATCTTATAGAATTTTCCCTTAATTTTGAGGGGCACTTTTCTATCACACAACAAGCCCGATGCATTCCTCCACTTCAACCATCCAACTTGAATTCTGCTGATAATATCCCCATCTATTTCACCATCACTCTGAACAATAGATCCAAGATATCTAAAACATCTCTTATTATTAATGACTTGATCGCCCAAAGTCACAATCCCCTCACTAGGTCTATTACTACTAAAATTACACTCCATATATTCCATTTTAGATCTACTCAAGCAAAAACCTTAAGACTCTAAGGTTGACCTCCATAATTCAAGTTTACCTTCAACTCCCTGGTTCAACAGCTTTTCCACCCTTCATTTTTTTTAAAGCCTCTCTAACTTCGATTTTACTAATACGCCGATAAAAACAGAAATCTTTATTTTCATTTAGGGTGCTAAAGTCACTATAGTCAATCTTATTTTCACAATTTTTATTAAAAAGTTTAGCAAAATATCTCATCCACCTTTGTTGAATATCATCTTCTTAGAAAAGTATTTTTTGATCTTCATCCTTAATATCAAAATAAATTAAATAGATGTGAGATCCATCATAATAAACTTTTGACAAAAATAACTTGACCCAAAAATTTTCTTAGTTAAAACACTATACACCAATTAAAAAGATTGGTAAGCCTTAGTTGCTATACTATAAAAAACAACATAATCGGCAAATAATTGAGAGCGAAAGAGGGCTAAAAAATCGTACTAACCTATTAAATATCGTCCTTGAAACATAAAAATGCATCTTGAATCTCCCTGACAAAACGATCTGGCCTCTGTTAATCAGCCACAGCCCAACCCATTTCCCCACTCTCCGAACTTGTGTAGGAGTAATCCAAAACAAGGTGTTTATCATACAATTCGTAGACATCCAACATAACTGTTTCTTCAGTCAATTTGCTCCGACTAGTAGTTCATCCAAAGTAAACTGAAGCAATCCAAGTAATTGCAATCTGTTTTATTCAACTCTTCTTCTGAGGATCTCTTTGGCTGTTTTCTTCCTGAAGTAATCCATATTCTCCTGCAAATAAACAAAGCAAATGCAGGGCAATCATAAACTTGATGTGGATTTTTTTTCAGTAACAGAAATATTAAGGTGCTGTAGTGCAATATATAAAGAACGTATCCACATCTAATAATCATAGAAGCCCATAGAAATAAGCCTAGCAGATTAGTCACCTGGCTGAAGCACAGCTTCAAACCTCTGCTATAGAAGTCTGTGTACTTGATCATGAACATCCCACAATCCCACCTATTGGAAGAAATGAGTTAGTCTAGAATTCTTTGTAAGGAATTCAAGTTAATCAAAAAAAAAAACGCAAAGCTATACTACCAACCACTATAAGAAGACTAATGGAAACAACCAAGGCCTGCCATGTAATAAGCATTATATAATGCAAATTTTAACGACATCAGACAAACCAGCATCATTATGTAGTAACTACCATCTTAGAAAACGTTTAATATCATTACTACCTCCAATTATAAACCCAGCTGTATCGAATCTCCAAGAAATGATTATGCTTCAAAAACTTGCAGCTCCCCCCTAGAAGCTAATTATAGAAATGGAGCTTTAGGCTTCATTTGGAACGACTTTTTTATTACTTCTTAAAGCGGTTTTTTAGTACAAAAATTAAAATTTTTATGCTAGAAAGTCGCTTTAAAAAGCAATAAAAAAGCCGTCCCAAACGAATCTTTAATCTTATTCTAGCTGCTTTCTATGTTAGGGATTCTATGATGAAACTTTTAGGACAAGGACAATGAGGAGCCACTAAAGGGCAATGCAATAACCAGGCCAAGGAAAGAGACGCACTTTACATCCCGTTTTTTATTGCATATGACTTTCTTCACTCTTGAAATATGCATCCAAACTTCGAGTGGGGTTTTTTTCTTTAGGAATTAGGACCTTTAGCTTTTCAGTATAACAAACAGGTCTGCAAGTACAGCCTGCCTGGGAAGGAAGCCCTTCCCATTCATATTTGTTAGAGACCTAATTTAGATCATCTCTGACATGATTAGAACATGAAATTAAGGAAAGATAAAAGAGATAATATCCGTTGAAGTTTTAATGGTTGGATTCTCAAAGAAAATTTATTAATGATGGTGGTTCTCATATCACATTATTGAGATTGAAGAAGATGTTGCTAGGAGTATGACCAAAGCTAATACGCTCCTTAGTGGCATCAAATCATTGAGATATGAGTCAATAAGATATGATCGATAGGGCACAAAGCCCTCTTTTAGCTATAAGGTGGATTCAAATTTGTCCCCTTAAACAAATATTCACCCCATGTCTACAAGGTACCCTTGGACGAAGCAACCCATGGCTGCCGACAATGATCCTTCTGTTAGATTGGGTCAACTACCTCCTCTGACTAAGTAGACCAGGGACCACGATGGCCCAGAATGACGGAACCATGGGATCTTGATCGGGTCCAACATCCATTCCCCCACCATCCGCTTTAAGTGCAAGATGGTGAAATTTCCTATTTTAAATATCAAACCTTTCGAAATGCCCAAATTTAAACCCAATTCTCAAATCCAAACCTATGTTGCTACTATATACCAGATAACACGTATTTACTACGTATCTGATTGACAACTAGCCTTAATCGAAAGTTCTCTCTCGTTATCGGGAGGGGTAATTAAGTATAGGGGCTTGCGCCTATAGGAAACTAGAACTCATATCATAAAGTCCTCACAAAATGAGGGTGAAATCTCTGGGTAGTGTCTTATCTACAAATCCATCTGTCTTCCCAAAATTTATTCCGGAACTTATTTTGTTAAAACTCCCCCGATAAAGAAAAGAATACAATTGGGCGGAGGCCGGGCCCAAATTTTTGGAGCCCACAGAGCGCCATGACAACCAATCATGCCAGCACTGTAGCACTCCTTATGGGAGCCTATATCGCAACTGCATTAGTTCAATTTTTCAAAGAGCTCAGTGTTGAGGTGTCACCTTCCCCGGAGCCGTGGCGCCCCAGGGGAAAAATTTCATATCTTCAGGACATGCAAACAAACCCTCGAGACCCACTTCAGAATACATGCACATAGAACATTCTCAGACATATGTAGAAGAGTTCAAATACATAAATTTAATGAATTACCTTGAACCTACTCGAGTTAGAATGAGTTGAACGGTACTCTAATCCCGGAAATGTCGCACGATTAAACTATGCAAGTAGTAATTACAGTAATTTCCTAGCACGAAGATCAAAACACAAGCTCTAAACACCTTCATGAACAATTTTACCTCTTTAATAAAAAAAAAAACAAATTTGATAGAAGAGGCATATGAAGTGGTCAATCTAGCTATGTACGAATTACAATATTTTTCCCCACAAAACTATCAAAGCAAAAGCTCTAATCAGCTTTGACTAACTTTACCCTTTCTTTAAAAAGGTTCCCGCCCTCAAAATATTCTTTAATAATGGTGGAAGATTTAATCGAGCATACTAAATATGGGTGGATATTGTAACATTTTATTGATAGATAGGTTTGTATTAGCTCACCCCATCAGGATTATACAAGTTCATGTTAATTGACAAAAAAATTAGTTAAAAATGTTTTTTGAAATGTTATTTGAAAATATTTTTTTTATTCCTATTTTCCAATCAAGTTTAGATTAAAATAATGCCTGACGATGGTTGATGAAGCCGTTCATTAAAAGGTTTGGCTACCAAGCTAGTAATTTTAAGGATTCCATACATTTTAGATCTTTTTGGTAACTTTTTTTTTCAAATAACATTTTCAATAGCCAATGCAATTATAATTTTTGGCCAAAAATTATTGTTATATGGTTAATCTAGAGTCAAAGCATTAACATAGATAACATATGCTTTTGATGATAACAAAATTCATTAAAAAATATATTTGCAAAAATATTAATAAAGCAATGTCTAAGTGAAATGAGCTATATTTACTCTCATTTCAAAAGTAATGCGACATATTATCCACATGAGGGAATTTTGATGTTAACAGATGAACCCAGTACGTTACTATGTATTTATTGTAAATAATTTGTCTTTTTAAAAACGTCCACTTTGATTCCTTAATTCAACATCATTGTAACTATTAAAGGAATGTAAACAGTAAGTTGATTATGGGCTCACAAGTTAATCAAGCAGCAAAAAGAACATAAAAAACTGGTAAATGCAGGAATAGCAGTTCAAGTAAAGCAAAAAATAATAAAGAATGCATCATTTGCAACAAAGAAGCAGACTCGCCCATTCTTTTGTAGGGGAAGGTCATCTACTAGTTCTTTCTTCCAGGAAGTACTGTCAATCTCTGTATCACCCTTATCTCTCGTTTCCTCCATTAAATATCTTGCCTACATGAAAGGATAAATAAAAATGAGTAAATTTACAATGACATCCTCACATAACAAATACAGAAATATCTAGTAACACTATACACGCTTTTCTCTAGTGTGGTGGGAAGGTAACCCGGTGCGACGCCTACGGAAAGACGAGTAGACCCTCTAAGCGCTTGGCAGGGACGAATATAAGTACCTGTAGATGTCTCAGCACCTACAGGAAAAAAACTGCGCATTTCAAATAGGTACCCCTAAGACCCATACACGCCTTTCTCTGACGTGGTGGGGTTGAAAATTTACGGCCGTGGTATCATCCAACACTTATCATACACGCTTTTCTCTAACGTGGCGGGAGACCCAGACTCCTGGAATTTCCCCTAAATGGGGGAGACGTCGGAAGGTTGTCGAATTTTACAGTGACAGGGGACCTGAACTCAAACAATTGACGGTGAACATAACTCAAATAATTTGAACAGAACTTGAATAGTTAATAGGGAACTTGACTTGAACGATCAACATGAACCTAAACTTAAATCAAACTCGAATGACACAGAGAACTAGACTTTTAACTAATAAATGCTCAATCAAAAATAAAAATATAAAGTGCCAAGAAGCAGCACCCTGCATACTCAAACAAACATAAATGAACAAGCAAAGATGTGTAGTGGACAAGGAAAGTCCCTAAATCTCATCCACAAGTAACAAATAAGATGAACGTGAAATCTGATTGCAAGTGATGCTGCAAAACCTTTAACTTACATATGAGCAATATGAAGCTCATAATGTCCTCACTAATAAGCTCGCAAGTCTATGCAAAGAACCTGAAATCATCAACGGAGGAGACTCCTAATGAATGTGTTGACTCGTCAGAGAACTCCTGACGAATGTGTCGACAATGTGAGCAATGGAAATGTGATGCCAGTCTCCCTACAACTGTTATCAGCTAGCTCGCAAGTACGTGCAGCAGTTCCTACGAAAGCTAAAAGAAATACAAGCGAAAATAGTAACTTGCCAACCAACATGCATAAGAAAATGGACGACGAGCATAGCCCATCTGGCAGCACATATTGACAAGCATATGAATACACTAAGATTATAGGCAAAAGGTGACATGCCCCGCACGCATACAAATACCATATGCAGTAAACACAAGGATATTAATTTGTGCAGTCAATAGCAACCCAATGATGGGTGAAATACATTAATCCTCACAAACAAAGGAAACTATAAGGCAACAAGTACGAACCCCTACGAGCCATTGTTGGGGACCCGTCACAAGCTTAACACACTACCTACAAACAAATGTAGGAAGAGTTGCAATGGATACGAACATCAATCATCCAATGGCCAGAAAATAATTCAATTTAACACTCATGCAAGCGGATATAAGGCGTGTTGATATAGGAAGGGGGGGGGGGGGTGGCAATTAATGTGCTTTAGTTTTGGGATGATTTGGTTCCTTGTTTGGACTTAGTTGCCTCAGTTTTTTCTGTCCCTTTTGGCTAACTGCTGTGTTTTTCTACTATATTAAGCTCATTATTATGTAATAAATGCTTCTTTAGGTTCATTCCCTCTTATGTTGGCCTTTCGATTTCCACCTGGCTCCTGTCCCGTGGCTGGCTGTTCCGGTTCCCTGTGGTTGCCCATTCCTGTTCCCCCATGTGGTCCCTGGGGTTGCTATTCCAGGCCACCTACTGGCCTTCTGTTTCCCCTTTCTTGATTGGTTCGACTGGAGTTATTTGGGGCTGTTTGGCTTCCTCTTTTCAACTATATATATATATGGGTTGTTTTGTTAAGTTAAAAAAGGAGTTTATGTGAGGATTTTTGGAGCCAAAAACCTACGGGTTTCTTCTTGGAAAGGCTTACGAGCTTGTTCCTCTTCTCTTTTCCTCTCTACGACTTCGTCTCGGGCTTCTTATCTAATTCTTCTCTTCGCAAGTGTCCATCCCATTTGTATCTTTCTTCTCAAGATATTTAAAATCAGTTTTTGATGTTTTATGTTATAAGTTTGTATGCGTCGTCTGTATAATATGAAAGTTAAGTTATGATTTGTTTAAGTTGAATTTTCTTATTCTAAAAGAAAGACCTAATTTTTATGTATTTTGCGATCTTTTTAATTGTATCAATTTGGTATCGGAGCTTTAGGTTGTGAGTGTCTTTTTTTTTAAAGTATTTAGAAAAAAAATTAGAAAAACATGATGTAATTGAGCCCGAAATTGGAGATAGTAAATCAAATGTTCTTGAAGAAGATATTCCTATGAGCCGATGGATTTCGACACAAGGAAATTCTACTAATCCCCTACAGAACGAGTTGCATATTCAAATTCAATATCAGATGCACTTATGTATGGAAAAATATGAGAAGAAAAAGAGACTTATGCAAGACCAATTCAAGCAAGTAAGAGAAATGATCCTGAAGAAATATGCGGCTTTGAATCAAGATTCGGATGCAGCACCATCATCTCGTTAAGAAAATTCCAAAACATCCTCATCAGGAGATGAGTACTTTCAACCGGGGAAGAATCTGATGTAGGCAAAGGGGGGGCAATTAACATGCCATAGTTTTGGGATGATTTGGTTCCTTGTTTGGACTTAATTGTCTCAATTTTTGTTGTTCCTTTTGGCAAGCTGTTGTGTTTTCTACTCAATTCAGCTCCACTATTATGTAATAAATGCTTATTTAGGTTCATTCCTCCACCCTTCTATTGGCCTTTCAATTTCTGCCTGGCTCCTATCCCGTGGCTGGTTCCTGTCCCGTTAGCAACTGTTCCGATTCCATGTGGTTGCCCGTTCTTGTTCCCCCGTGTGGTCCCTTGGGCTACTGTTCCAAGCCGTCTGCTGGCCTTCTGTTTCCCCTTTCCTGATTGGTTTAGTTGGAGTTATTTGGGTCTGTTTGGCTTCCTCTTTTCAACTATATATATGGGTTGTTTTGTTGAGTTAAAAAGGAGTATGTGAGGATTTTTGGAGCCAAAAACATGTGGGTTTCTTCTTGGAAAAGCTTGCAAGCCTGGCTTCTTATCTAATTCTTCTCTTTATAAGTTCCACTCGACTTGTATCTTTCTTCTTAAGCTATTGGAGGTGTTGGTTGGCCGGCTTGGTAGCATTTGCCGGAGGAGTTTGTGGTGGACGTTGGCCCAATTAGCTACGGTGGACCCTTGGTTTGAATGTCCTTAAGCACATCTTTTATATTACCTACTATTTCGTTGCACGTGAGGTGACTGCTAGTCGGTTGTTCTGAGTGTAGCTATTTTTATTTTTAATTTAGTTTTCGTTTGGTTGGCTTTCGTTTGTTTGGAGGTTTGTTTGATGTTAGCTTTCTAAGTTTTGAATCGAGAAAAGTTCTACTAGTCCAGGTGTTCTCCCCTTTTAGTTTTTTCTATCCAGTTGTCTGCATCAAGTTTGATATCAGAGCCTAGGTTAGCATATCCTATAATACCCAAAATTTTGTCCAAAAGATAAACATACAAATTTCCCCTATATTCTCTCACATATAAAAAGTATCAAAAATATTTTCATCAAATTTGATATTGAATTTCGAGTAATTTTGGTATCAATATATCTTAAATGTCTATGTATAGGTATCTTTTAAATAACTGTTTAATATTATAGTTAATGAATAACAGTTAATTGACTATAGTTTATTAATTGTTATTGTAGTCTTTACTAATTTTGACATGCATAGGCTGGATGGAGATCAGACGGCCAGAATGTTAGTGGAATTGTAGTGGAGAATGAACTATCTTATAATAATATTATATATTACGGTAAAGCACTAGTAGACCTTATAAGTCCCCTTCATTCCTTTCACTGCCCATCACCTGGAATTGAAGCAGCGGGCAAGTAAGTTGAGTAATAATAGAGGATTCGGCTGCTGGAAGGGGAGAGAAACCAAGTGCTGAATTAGCGATTAGTGTAGGAGAAGCTGTAGTTCAGGTATTTCTTTCTGAAGTAATGAGGGATATAAAAAGGCAATAATAGTATTTCTCAAGCAATATTTTCTATAAGAGTGTGTGTATGCAAATTAGTGAGGAATTTCTGAATTTCTGAATGCAGAAATGCATAAATTGTGGATTTCTGTCAATCATTTTGAATGTTGAATGTGGAAATCATTAGAAAAAAAAAGGGGGTAAGACTATTGTTAAGTTAGCTGATGGGAAAACGAATTTCTAAAATTAATGTTGCTGAAATCAGTTAGTTATGGCTGAGTTCGTGATGGTAGACTTCTTGAAATAGGAAAGAAACATAGGAAGGAAAGAAAAGATTACTATTTAATGAGGAAGAATTTAGTTGAGGTAAAGTAGTAAGATATTCATACAGCTTGTTCCTTTATTTTTTTTGTATATGTGCAAATAAAGAATTGTATGTTGTAGATAGTGTACAAAAGAATAAGAAAACAGGAAAAACGAATCCCAAGTGAGGTGAGATACCAAACGATGCATAGAAAATAATAAATTTTTATACATTTGCAAATGCATATCTATTATATTTATGATAGCATTTTTTTTCAATTTATGCCACTTTATTCATATATATGAATTGTTGAGATAGTTATGAAAATGAACATGAATAAAAGAGTATAAGGGATTTAAGTCATATATGGGGAATAATTCAAATTCCTTTCCTCTCTCCTACCCGCCGACCCCTCTCTCCCATCCCTCATTAATCCCCCCCAAATCAAAAGGATTAATTAAGGAAATGCTTTACCTAATTTCCCTCCATCCTCCATCTTTCAAATCCGAACCATATTCCCCCACATGACCGGCCCCTTTCTCCCTTCCCTCCAATTATTTTGTGATTGATTTAGCATGCCACCTAAGCAAGGAAAATTAACTCCAGGATATCCTCCACGGCTGTCCACATAAGTATCCACCTCATCCTCCTAGCTCTCGTGCATCCAGAAGATGGAAACCCCTGAAATTCTCCTCTCCAACTTGCTATCAAGATTTTTGGACAGGTTCTAGGTTCTGTCTTGAGTATCAGAACCTTGAAAAGTTGTCCATAGTCTTCAGATTGCTGACCAAAGAATCCAGACCACGTTAGCTGGCTGTCCTTCATCCAGAAGTTGTCAAAATGTTGTCCAAAGGCCGCTAGGGAGTTTGTGTTGCTACCCACTCTTTTTCTAACATCCAGACGAACACACTGGAGTTTCATATCCTCTTTCTTTGGGTAAACTCTTCTTCCAACTCTTATATCTTCTAAGTTGTTTTCCAATTGTGGTCTTATGTGATTCATAAAGATAGTGTTAATCTCCCTCTGCTAAAGCCTAATAAGTTAGTAAGCTGAATAAGGGATCCTTTTATAGTGACTAGTCTTATTGTTAGCATAGGGATTTCTCGTTGAAAACCTTCCATGTATGCAAAGATAGAGTAATTAACTGTTTTAAGATCTTAACCTCTGCATATGTGATTTGGCCTAAACTTGTCTCGTCAATTCTTAGTTTTATTTTATCATTTAAATCACTACAAGTACTTAATTATTATTGTTCTCTAAACTAAAGCATGCAAAATCCTTAATTTACATCATTTAAAGCATGTTAGTCTTGCATCATAAGAATTTAGCATCTATCAATTAGCCTTAATTGAAAGTTTTCTCTCAAATCAAGGGGTAATTAACTATAAGGTCTTACACTTTAAAAAAACTTGAGACCATATCATAAAGTCCTCACAACATTAGGATGACGTAACTGGATAGTGTCTTATTTGTAATATAATTTACCATCTAAGAATTTAACCCCGATCTATATTTTCTTAGAAAAGTTAGGCACGAACTTTTGGATCGCACATTTGATTATGTATCCATGTTTGCATTTACGAAGTGAGCTCATTTTGATACAATGAGACAATATACTACAAAATTGAAATAGTTTATAAAACAAAATAGGTAATTGATGGAACAATACTTTCATGTGCATGGAAAGAAGTAAAAAAAATATGTGCTATGAAGTACACTTAGTTCAATATTACATTATTTTCTTGAATAAGCTTTGAATAACAATGAACATCACCTCTTAATCTAACATCTTTAATATGTTTAAAGTATTCCATACCTCATATTGATCATAGTGGGATGTGATTGGAGTGCAAGAAATGCCTATTTATTCAACACACATATTCCATGTAAAATTTATAAACATGCCACATAAATAATGCATTCATCTATTTCATAAATTTAGTAAGGATGCATGTCATTTTCATTATTTAAGAGTATTTATTGCTAAGTTCTTTGTGAATACATGTAGCAATTTGAATAGACAGTGCTACAGATTATGTTTAATATAACCTTTTTGTGTACATTCAAAATTATTAGGTTTACTCCAAGAATAATATTCCAGCCTGATTATGACAGTTCAATAAGATTCATATGATTCCCTTTAATTTAAGGAATATTTTATAACTAAAATTAATTGTATTTGAAGCCAATCGGCTCAATGAGCTAGCTTAGAAGATGAATTCTAAGTAAATGAAATAGGCCACTCACATTGTTTTGTTTAATCATGCAGCTGGTAAAGGGTTACAAACATTCATACACATTGCATGAACCTATACATTCATTCACATATACAGATAGATGCAAGGACATTGAACACAGACAGTAGATCTTATAACTTTGCAAAGTGATGACACCTATATTTCTTAGACTTGCTCAGTTTTGACATTGCAAACTACACTTCACCTTGCACAATTTTTTGAATTGTTGGTGAATATCTCACAAAGAACCAATAAATTCCATCAAATTAAACAATCTGACTTACACTTTTTAAATTCTAATAACAATTTATTTTCTTTACACCCCTGGAGGATTCAATGTTACTCTATTTCATGATTTTGCTTGCATGTTTTTACTGCATTTTAATGTTCGAAGAATCATCTTTATGTTTTGGAGGAAACAATAATGTATTTAAGTTTAATTTTCAAGTTTGCTCGCATTCCTTTCCAAAGAAATCTACTTATAAAGCATCAATTTTCCTGTTAATTGCAGGGATATATTTAATTGTATGCCCTTTCATAGTGGCATTGTGATTCCACGCCCAATAAGTTAAAATACTCATTAGAAATATGTAATTTTCCTAGTAAGTAGATACGAAACTGTGTTCTTGACCGAACTGTCAGTTGATGTACATATATATGTGCAAACAGAAGAATGCACCCGATTGTCTATGTATTCTAAGTTATGATTGTATGAATAACTAGGGGTGTCAATTTCGGGTCACGTGTCAGGTTCGGGTTGAACCCAGAACTGACCCGGCACTATTCGGGTTTGGGTCAACCCGACCCATTTTTGCAAACGGGACTATTTTTCGGATCCGAACCCAACCCGCTTCAGGTTCGGGTCAACCCGACCCGACCCGCAAACGGGTTTGGAGCCTTTGTCATTGTTCAACTTCATTCCTGGACGACATTCTCTTCCCGTCGGATCGGAAGTTACAACATTTTGACCGGAAGCACCGAAGCAACGACGAGAGTTCGCTCGCAGCCTCGCTGCCTCGCCGACGCCTTCGACGCTGTTCGACTTCGCTCCTGGACGACGTTCTCTTCCCATCGGATCGGAAGTGAAGCACTGAAGCAAGACGAGAGTTCGCTCGCAGCCTCGCTGCCTCAACGACACCTTCGTCGCTATTCAAATTCGCTCCTGGACGACGTTCTCTTCCCGTCGGATCGGAAGTTACAACATTTTGATCGAAAGCAATGAAGGGAGTTCGCTCGCTGTGAAGAACTTTCTGCCTTGCGGCCCTCGTCGGCTCCGTTGTTGTTGGACTTCGCTCCTAAGCTCCTTGGATGACGTTCCCTTCCGGTCGGATCGAAAGTTAACATTTTGATCTAAAGAAAAGAAATGAGCCAACGGCGGGAAGCAAAGCAACGACGGGCTTTTCCGGGTCATTCACGGGTTTCCGGATCAACCTGAACATGACCCAGTTTTGCAAACGGGTCAGGTTTTCGGACCTGAACCCGACCCACTTCGGGTTTGGGTCAACCCAAACCTGAAATTTTTAGGTCGGATTCGGGTCGGGTCCAATATTGACACCCCTGTGAATAACGTGAACATGTACGCATGCATGAGTTTGATTTGCACCGATTTTGGTGATATTTACATATGTCTGTGGTGTTGTACATAGTAAATTTTGTTTTATAGCATTAATAAATTATGTAGTCAAAAGCTTCATTACAAGATTTATTTATAAAGAGAAATGCAAACCAATAGTCTCCAGCTATTCAAACTATAATGCTTTTCCCCATTTCCTTCAGTTATAACAATTAAAAGTTCTATGTAACCTGTTTGGTTAATAATTCAAACTTGACAACCACATCAACCACTTGGGGAAAGCATGTAGTTCGTTAACAGAAGGAACATAAAGGTTCATAAATCACAAAACAAAGCATCATGATGCTCTGTTAATTGTTTTTTTCTGTTCAGGATCATAACATTAAAAGACCGTGGAGATTACCAATACTTCTAGCACATGAATATCCTTGCCACCAAGAGAATCAAGATACTGGAAAGTTTCATCCTTTATATTGATAACAGCTAAACACCAATGTTTCTTTTTGTGTATGGGAACAAACACCTGCAAATAATTGCAAGTATAAGCATAATCATGTTAAAAAAAAAAAGATTCAATTTAACCTTACTTTGTCACATTCAATAAGGGTATAACCCAGCTTCTTTTTTGTAGTCCATCTTCTTACAGCTTCGAAATCGTAGCCATTCTTCCCATTGGCCAACTACAACAAATTACATTAGAATGAACAAAAAAGCTAAAATCAGCTTACCAAACATAATTCCCAAAGCGGTGAGCAACAAAAATGCAAATAAGGAATAGAAAATGCGAGAACAGGAAGTAAAAATAATAGAACAATATACAAATAAATCATGAATTGCAGCAATTCTAATGCTACAATAAAATAGCAATCCCCAAAACTTAAAACCCAAGAAAGAAGCTAAAACAAGTCTACAACCGCTGCAGGATTAGTATGAGCACTATTTAGATCTGCATCTCACTTCACATTAACCTAATATTTTTTGTGTCTAATGATATCATACAGAGCAATCTCCTGTTGTTTATTCCCTGACAACAGAGAAAAAGCAACCACTCTCTTTTTCAAGACATCGCAGAAAATAACATCTGAGCAGAAAATAACATACGAGAACAATTGGTGTCAGGTGATAGCTTCATATTCAGTCTAACTACTTAAACGTTTATCAAATAAAGAGATTCCAACTTCTTTTGGATAACTTTTAAACATCATATAAGTAAATCGAATAGCAACTTTTACACCCCGAAAACTTTTTTTAATTCTCTCATTCTGACACTATCTACAAGTAATTTGATATATGGATACGAAGAGAAAATGAAGGCAAAACCTATAGCGATCATCTGTGAAAGCATTAAAGCAAATTGACGCTGAAAGATGACATCATTTACTATTTTTTTACATACGTGAATACTCCTGCATGTCGAATACTAATTTCTTCCCATAAGAGTTTTAGATGCCTTCAGAACAAAAGTGATCATACACAAGCAACTCTAAAAAGAGCAGCCTTCCCATATGGGCGAGTTGACTACCTTCACTTATAAGGGAGAAAATCTGAATCGAATATAATTAAAACACGAGAAGTCAGTTGCTCACTACACAAGTCCAAATAAGACCTTGCTATGATACAAATATACAATATCTAATAACATGAGCGCATAATAAACACTCATAATGGTCTTGGAGGTGTTGATTAGTGTATTCAAACTACACACACCTCACATGCATCCTACGGAGAATGGCCACATGGCTATGATATGTCTGCCAGGTTTACAAGGCTGACGAGACTACGAGCCTGCATGCTGAAGCCTGAAGATGAGCAAGAGTATTGTAGTAATCAAGAAGGTTTGTATTGAGATCTGTGATAGGATGTTGATGAAGATTATTGTGCCAGAAATAGAAGCACAAAATGGTGCGCATGATCGGTTAAGCTGATGTCCATGTGAGCAAACTTCCTCAGGTCTTCTCCCTCTCTCTAGTTCAGATTATTGGTGTTCTATCAAAGTACATTGATGAAGGTAAGCCGCCATGACATCTGCATACGCAGAACATGATAGTTTGTAGTTATATGTACTACTACAAACCTGATACAATTTAAATAACTTAAATATGAGGATGAGTTTAATTTCAACATCCACATCAAAGAAGTGGAAGAAAAGGTCTCTAACGGGTCAAAAAGCATGACTCTTAAGTTTTTCCTATGCATGTGCGAAACCGTGATGAGGGAACTTAGGAAGACGAGTAATTGATCTTTCAAAGTACTTGTCCGCATTTGGTTTCTTTATAAAAGAAATGCAAGCTTCACGCATGCAAATATGAAATCTTCATGTTCAGTAAGACTCATACAATAGTGAGGCAGGTGGGGTAAATTTGCTTCCAGTACAAAATCAATATGATGTTGAATAACTCTTAGCGGAGGCAATGAATTAGGTAGTTCTTCAAGAGTTATGTCTTCATATTCGTTGATCAGGGGTTGAATTTCTTCAAGAATTTTTTTAGTTACTTCAATCTCTTTTCCTACCACAAGATAGATCACTTCGGTGGATTTGAGTTTATTTGTATTGAGAAGCAATTCAGGAGTAAGTGACTTTGAGGTCATTTGGACAGATTTTGTGGGAGGGTTAGAAATTTTCTTTTGGGGATATAAGATGAACTCCTTATTGTCTTGAGTCAAGGTGCAAGTGTTTTTTCTCTCCATTGTGAGTGGTCTTATGATCGTATTGCCAAGGTCAACCTAGAAGAATATGATATACCTCAAGTGGCATGATATTACATAATACTTGGTCTTTGTAAAAATTTTCAATTGAAAGGCTGCCAAGGCAATGCTGAGTGATTAGTACCTCTCCTCCTTCCATAAATCATGATATTTTTTAAGGCATAGCAAGGGGTTTTGGTTTTATTTTCAATTTATCCACCATGAATTGTGACACAAAATTTTCGAAGCTACCACTATCAATCAAGAGGGTACACAATTTTCCTTCTAAAGTATAAGTGGTTCTTAAAATATTTCTTCTAAGCCATTTATCTCCAACATCTGATTTTGTAGTCAAGACCTTTCAGATAACTATATAATGATCTACTTGGTCACCTTCAACATCAATTGATTCCATCTCCTCCTCGTTTTCTTCTTCAGATTCATCTTCTTCCACATTTTCATGATTATTCTCTTGTTCAATGTAATTGGTTCTAGGTGAGTTGTTTTTTACCGACCGCTAAAAGATGACCATATAAACCACACTTATAACAAGGTCCAATTGGTTTTGTTCAAAATACTCATTTTCCTTTTTCATTATCTTGAGCTTCATTAGGTTTTCGTCGAAGATTTGGATTTGAAAAGGTTGACCTTATGACAACGTATGAAGTTTGAGTTTTACTTTCCAAAGATTGCTTAGGCTTGGTTGGATCAATTTTTTTATTGTTGTTTCTTTGTTCTTGTTTCTCAATTTTCAATGCCATGCGATAGGCCTCATCGAGTTTGATTACGTGGTGAAGATTTAGTTGATCTTGGATTGACCATTTGAGTCCGCTGATGTATCAAGTTATGGTTCGTTCCTTAGTTTCATTTAAATCCTTTTGGATTGCAATTTGTAAAAATCTGTAGTGTATTCTTCTATAGATCGAGTTCCTTGGCGAATGTTATTGCATTCTTGGAATAGGATTCGGGAATGGTCAGAAGGCAAGAATTGTCCTCGCATTTTTCTTTCATTCTTTCCCATGTTTGGATTTTCTCTATCCCTCACCTTATTATGATATTTAGAAGATTTTTCCACCAGGTTAATGCATGACTTGTCTGCTTTAAACGAGCAAACCTAACTTTTTTATTTTCGGTGATTTCTTTCCATTCAAATAATTGATCCATCCTCTCAAACCATTCAAGGAATTGTTCAAGTTGTAGTTTGCTTTCAAATTCACAAATGTCAATTTTAATCACATGATCCAATTTTCTATTTTTCTATTCTGGTTTCGTGATGATTCAGCTTCACTATCATTGTTTTGTGCATGAGCATTGTTTAGATTAAGGGCAACCAGGGTATTAGCCATTATTTCCATTTGTTGTTGTAGGTTAGCCATTTGTTTCCATGCGTTTGTTGATTATTTTGATTATTCAAATTTTTTTTTATTTTTAAAGAGAAAGGAAGACTCACAGGACAACCTAAGCTATGATACCAAATTGATGCAACCTAAGTTCTATAGCCAAGTAGGAGAACACTAAGAATGCAACAAGACACTTCCTTTCAATAAAACATAAACCAATGCCAACTGAAAGAAACTTAATAGTAAATAGATATAAGAAAATGATTAGAAAATCTTGCAAAGAAACAAACTAAAACTTAAAATTAACTACCCTCAGAACAACTTAGAAAGGCCACCTCACATGCAAACCCAAAATAGGAAGGAAAGGTGCTCAAAGGAAAGGACAAACAAGTGGTTCGCCATAGAAATTTTGATCCAGCTCAAATCGACACTCCTCTGGTACCAACAAACATGGCACAACAACACCTTGAAACTCACAATATTTGGAGAAGAGATATACATGTGAAATGTGAACCGTGGAAAGAATAGTAGATAGAAGACCGAGACGAAATAGAAGAACGAATGTAGAAGAAGATAGCTCGCAAGCTAAATAACTTGCAGGTTTTAGTGTGATTACACCAGCCACAATAACAACCATCCTATTCCAGCAGCAAAACAACCCATATATATAGGAGAAGAAGGGGGAAATGACCATAAATTGCTCACTTAATTATGCCACCCAAACAACCAATAGAGGCCTCTCAAGTTAGCCCATTTAATGATGAGTTAATGCACTTAATATAAGAAAACAACAAGGTGGAAACCGAATAGCCAGCAGCAGGGAAATATGAGACAACAGCACGGGTGAAAACAACCATCATGGGGAAAAATAGCTAGCATGGAGAAAACCAGCAGCATGAAAAAAGGGACAACATCATGGTGAAAAACAACAAACATAAGGAAAGAGTAGGGTCAAGCTCAATAAGCAAAACACGCCCAAAATAAATACCCAACTAACCACCAAAGAAGCTAGATCAACACAAGTGAAACCAAAGGAGTGAAACTTCTTAAGAGCACCAAACCTAAGCAAAATCACAGGTTGTTTTCCATCATAGGGTATTGCAAAAAAAAAACAAAGTTCAAAATACAAAGAGTCCAAAACATTAAAAAATAAAGAAAGCATAGATTAACAATTCTTGATTGCATCACTTTTATAATTCCCACTTAATGCCTATAGCAAATAAATGGATTTTCTCATGGTTTAAAATTGCGCAATATGAGGCTCGCCTTGAGGCCCGCCTTTGCGCAATTCCAGAAAAAAACACCTCGATGGTTACGCCTCGAGTTTTTTTTATGAGGCTTGCGCCTCAACTTGGTTGAGGCCCGCCTCGCCTCACGCTATATATATTAAAACTTACATAAATCTTGAAGTAAATGCCCGACATTGGACTCTACAGGAGAGGAGGAAGGGGAGAAAGCAGTTCATCATAATGATGATTCAAATGAAGAACCCCTTAGTGATGACAGTGCTGATGACTTATGAGTTCTTATGTGATATGTCATTGCTATTTATTTTTGGAAATTTGAATTATATGTTAATGAAAAGAATACTGGGATTTGGAAAAGATAGAATTTTGAGTTGAACTATATTTCATGTTGTCTTATTATTGGGATAT